ATTGAATGGGCTTTGGGCCAATGGACCCAGGTTCGATTCCCGGAGGGTGCGTCTTGCAGCCCGGGGGGTGGCACACAGCGGCTTAGATTCCCGGAGGGTGCGTCTTGCAGCCCGGGGGTGGCACACAGCTGGCTTGAATGCTTGTGTGTTGTGCGTCTTTCTCTGCCAATGTCTTGCTGTTATGTTAGCTACCTTTGCCTGCTTCTGGACATTGCCTCTAATTACTTCACGGTGACTTTCTTTCATTGCCAGAGTTGTGCTTTCCGTACGTCGAAGCCGCACTATTGCCAGCACACTGGTTTCAGAGGTTTTTTGTGGGTTGGCTCATTATGCTGGGCAGAGGTGACTCTCTTTCATTGCAAGAGCTGTGCTTTCATTAGGTCGAAGCCGCGCTAATGCAAAACACACTGGTTTCAGAGGTTTTTTGTGGGTTGGCTCATCATGTTGGGAAGAGGTGACTCTCTTTCATTGCAAGAACTGTGCTTTCATTAGGTCGAAGCCACGCTATTGCCAAACACACTGGTTTCAGAGGTTTTTTTGTGGGTTGGCTCATCATGTTGGGAAGAGGTGGCCCTCTTTCATTGAAAGAGCTGTGCTTTCAGTAGGTCGAAGCCGCACTATTGCCAAACACACTGGTTTCAGAGGTTTTTTGTGGGTTGGCTCATCATGTTGGGAAGAGGTGACTCTCTTTCATTGCAAGAGCTGTGCTTTCATTAGGTCGAAGCCGCGCTATTGCCAAACACATTGGTTTCAGAGGTTTTTTGTGGGTTGGCTCATCATGTTGGGAAGAGGTGACTGACTCTCTGTCATTCCCTCATGGGATTCTGATGGTTTACCATTTAATTTCTATTCTTTCTCCATAGGAACCTTATGGTTTACCAAGGGTTTTCTTTTTTCTCCATAGGAACCTGATAGTTTTCCACTAGTTGTCGAACCTTTTCCCATAGGAATCTGATGGTTTTTGCGTGGTTTCCTCACGTTCCCTCATAGGAATCTGATGGTTTACCATAGGTTTTCTCATCTTTTCTCATAGGAATCTTATGGTTTATATACCATAGGTTTTCTCATCTTTTCTCATCGGAATCTGATGGTTTATCATAGATTTTCTCATCTTTTCTCATAGGAATCTGATGGTTTACCATAGGTTTTCTCATCTTTTCTCATAGGAATCTGATGGTTTACGATAGGTTTTCTCATCTTTTCTCATAGGAATCTGATGGTTTACCATAGGTTTTCTTATCTTTTCTCATAGGAATCTGATGGTTTATCATGGATTTTCTCATCTTTTCTCATAGGAATCTGATGGTTTATCATAGGTTTTCTCATCTTTTCTCATAGGAACCTGATGGTTTATCAAAGATTTTCTCATCTTTTCTCATAGGAATCTGATGGTTTACGATAGGTTTTCTCATCTTTTCTCATAGGAATCTGATGGTTTATCAAGATTTTCTCATCTTTTCTCATAGGGAATCTGATGGTTTTACGATAGTTGTCTCACTTCTCATAGGAATCTGATGGTTTATCAAAGATTTCTCATCTTTTCTCAAAGGAATCTGATTGGGTTATCATAGATTTTCTCCTCTTTTATAGGAATCTGATTGGTTGATCCATCGGTTTTCTCATTTTTCGCATAAGGAATCTGATGGTTTTCATACGTTTTCTCATTTTTCTCATAGGAATCTGATGGTTTACCATAGGTTTTCTTATCTTTTCTCATAGGAATCTGATGGTTTATCATGGATTTTCTCATCTTTTCTCATAGGAATCTGATGGTTTATCATAGGTTTTCTCATCTTTTCTCATAGGAACCTGATGGTTTATCAAAGATTTTCTCATCTTTTCTCATAGGAATCTGATGGTTTACGATAGGTTTTCTCATCTTTTCTCATAGGAATCTGATGGTTTATCATGGGTTTTCTCATCTTTTCTCATAGGAATCTGATGGTTTATCATAGATTTTCTCATCTTTTCTTATAGGAATCTGATGGTTTATCATAGATTTTCTCATCTTTTCTCATAGGAATCTGATGGTTTATCATAGGTTTTCTCATCTTTTCTCATAGGAATCTGATGGTTTATCATAGATTTTCTCATCTTTTCTTATAGGAATCTGATGGTTTATCATAGATTTTCTCATCTTTTCTCATAGGAATCTGATGGTTTATCATAGGTTTTCTCATCTTTTCTCATAGGAATCTGATGGTTTATCATAGGGTTTTCTCATCTTTTCTCATAGGAATCTGATGGTTTATCATGGATTTTCTCATCTTTTCTCATAGGAATCTGATGGTTTACCATAGGTTTTCTCA